GATGCCAAATTACTCGATTGAGCAGCGCGTCCAAATGGTACAACTTAATTATCAAAATGAGTGTGCGTTAGCGCAAACTTTGCGCGCTTGGTATCTATTTTGCGGTAGACCCGGTGGCCCTTCACAGTCGTCTATCCAATGCGTGATGGCCAAATTTGAGATGAACGGTTGGCTAAACAATCACCTAACGGCCGTACGTCAAAGGAACGTCAGATCGGATGAGTAAATCGCCGCGGTCCAGGAAAGTGTGCAGGAAATCTCGAGGCAGTTAATTCCTCGCCATGCACAAGAACAAGGCCAAGAGAATGATGATAAACGATTTCTTTTGGGCCAAAATTGAACAAATGGACGGAATGGAAATGTGATTTCAAGTGCCATACAGCCATGAACCAACTAAAAGATCATGCAGCACGGCAACCGTGTATTTGTAACAGGGAAGCCAACTCGTGGGGAATTCCCCGATTTGCGGCGAATTTCAGTTTGTATGGGGAATCGGGGAATGTACCGTTTTTTGTGGGGAATTTCAGATTACGAGAGGAATCGGGGGATGAATTGTTTTATTGTGAGGAATAAAGTGTTAACTAATTTTTTTCTTTTTTGCTTCACTAATTTCATAAGGATTTCAAAAAGTTGCATAAGAAACACAACTGCAATTAAAGTACTCATTATGCAATTCTGCAAATTACGCAAATTACCGTTGATTTTTTAGAATTTTTTTCGCCGCATTTGTTTTCATATAACGAATAAACACAATTTATTTTTACATGGAAGAAAACCGCAACACCTTCGCCAAAAAAAATTTTAAAACGAAAATTTTTAGCCACTTTAAACTTGCCCTTTGTTAGACTAGAATTGAGTGGCCTACAAAACTGCATACTCAAAATCTTTCCAGAAAAAAAATCGAAATTTTTACGAAAGTTTGTTGATTTTTTTTTAAATACACATTGCATAAAGTTTGAAACATGGATTTCTGCGGTTTCTGTTAAAGAATGAATTAGTTTTTTATAAAAAAAATGTATCAGTTTGTGTGAACTTTGTTTGTGTAAGCTTTGAAACTTTTACTTAAATACATATCGTCACCTGAAATGCAAAAAGTCATAACTAATAAAAAATTCAAAATGCATTTTTTTTATTTGTATGATGGATTTTATCGAATTACAACTACCCACATAATTTTATGAAAAATAATTAAAATATTAGTCACGCCCAAAATGTATTCAACAAAGCGTGATTGAATTTGACATTGCTCTCAGAAGAACCATCCATTTATGAATTTTGAATCGCTTGTTTATATTTTTTGGCATAGTAGTACCTTAAAAGCGAGCCTATCTGAGTTGTCAATCACACCTTGTTTAATACGCCTTGGTCACGTCTTTTTGCATTTCAGGTGACGATACTATTTCTGTTATAGGTCGAACTATATTTTAAATTAAAGTTATTAAAAATAAATAAACATGATTTGCAAACAATATATTTTTTTTTAATTTTGGTGCTATTATTTTGACCGTAACTGTACATGTGAACAAGCTTATTTGTTTCGGAATTGACCAAAATTTTTCCATAACTGTGAACACACCTTCACACATGCCTGAATATCTAATAAGAATATGAAACCAAACCAATAACGCCTAATAATTCTACAATCGATAGATTACCTTATCAGAAAAAAAGGAAAATAAAAATTGTGCAAGCAAAAGTCGAACTTTGCTCATAACAAAATTTAACTGCTTATTATTTTTCAATAAATATTTTAAATATTTTTTCGCCGTATAAACAATAAAGCACTGAGCACAGCGCATTTTCGCACCAGCAAAGAGCAACAATTTTTTTCAACTTTTTTTTTACTGAAGTAGTTCGTGCAGCTACGACTGAGGTCAAGGTCGTTCTCAGTGCCGGCCGAGAACACTCGTAATTGAGGAGAAAGTACACTTAGCGCTCGCTAACTACGCCAGTGTTGCCACGAAGAAATTTTTTTACCTACCAAAACCTACAAACATTTTTTGAGTTTTTAATTTTTTTCAATGTCAATTTTTTTAAAGATGTAGATGACATAGCATTTAATAAAAATATATAACACAGGTAGTACAATAAAAACAAATTATTTCCGTATAAGTATTCATTTTACTGTGCCGGCTTATTCAAATGAATGTCTCTTTACACTTACATAATATTATTGTTGTTATTATGACGTCAGAAATACTCGCGCTGCGACCTACACATATCTATTGTGGTAAACCCAGCCCATAGAGCTTACCGACCGACTCTAGAGAAACCCCATTTTGTTCGAATGGTAGCTTAACTTGCAGTGTCCTGTCAGGATGCCAGTACGAGTTCCAATACTCTCCCGGCTAAGTTCAAGGAGTCTTTCGGAGTTCCTTCTGGAAGAACCTATGAATCTCTTTGATAGTGTCATTCCCTTTGACTTCCGCCAGTGGGAAGCAATATGAAATTTTTCCCAGCCCCTAAATAGTTGTGCAGTGTATCCTTTAAATGAACAGCAGAAGCGCTGAGGACAATGCAAGCGCATTTGGGCTCCTCACTTTACGAGACAATCAGCCTTTCCGTTGCCTTCAAGCCCTTCATGTCCCGGAACCCACCACAGCGTTACGCTATTGTGGGCTCCCAGGTAGCTCAGAAGAATTTTACAGCTGTCCCCAAGCCTTGATGCCGTTTTAAGAAGGTCTAAGGGCTTTAACGCTGCCTTATAGCCCAAACACAATTAAAACGACAAGCTACGAACCACAGCTGTCAAATTATTTTACCACGTTTTCTTATGTAGATAATTATTTTGACGACAACAGGGCTACGCGACGACTGTGGCTGGGGCCAGATTAGGGCTATTTCTATTTTTCCAGCGACAGATAAGGTTCTTCCTGTTCTTTTATGTCGAACTCATACAAATTTATGACGTCGCTGCCGCGTTCAAAATAATCATGTCGCCATAGACAAAGCGTTTAGATGACGAAGATAACAAATTTGAAGCTGTGGCTTGTATCTCTTCATTTTCAATGTGTTCAGAACTTTACTTTCCGACATAATATTTATTATGGCCCTATTTGTCCTTTTACGGAGCCATTCGCGAACAAAGACTTGGATTTCAAAGACATGCGCCTGGAATATGGGCATATACCCAGCCCATTGGCAAACCTTTCTGGAATCTTCGTCCAAGTATGCGTGCCCCAGTACTCCCTTTCAGGAATTCTGACCTTGTAGGGCTTTTAGAAGGATAACTCGAAATCATCCAGGAATGACCCCGAATATCTCCAGCAGCCCTCTTTTTCAATCAGAACAGACAAATGAGGAATCATGTAATGACACCAAGGGCATTCGTTGAACAGGTGCGCATAGCTCCTGTGATGACCACGCAGTCGGTGCAGCTTTCTTAAGGTGGCACTCGTGTTTTCTTGCTTCGCCAGCGCCGCATATGTAACAACGGGTTTTACTACCGTAATGAGAGACGAGTACGCCAGTTTGGGTGGTATTCCCTAAGTCTCACATGAAGTCTCTGGCAGGGATAAAACGCCCTTGTAGCCTTGTTGGTACCATTCGAGAGCCGTAAGTAAGTTCCAATTGAGCCTCTTGTTCATAGTTGGTTCTAGATACTTCGCCTTTTCTGAGAACTCAATTTCTGCCCTGCTAAGGTAGGTCTAGTCAAATTGACTTGAACATAATCTTGGTAGAAAATAAATTGTTAAAATAAAATGTTAATAAGCCACAATAACATTGACAAATGACTTTCCTTCTTTTAGTAAATGGGACAAGGGTGGACTTTAGTTGGTTTATTCACGAGCCCTTTTCAGCGCAGTACTTGAAAATCAGTTATATTTACATGTTTGCGGTCGTAGTTATACGAACGCACCGGTGAAGTATTCGTGTAATCAAGATTGCTAAAATGTTTGGACATACATATTCAGGCAGGTTCTGCAATTCACTTCCGAGTAAGTTTCAACCCCTGCCAATTTGAGTTTAAAGCGGATTTTATTGAAATTCACTCGGAAGTGAATTGCAGAAACTGCCTGATTTTCTATTTTTCGCTATTAACTATTATTGTCGCGGAACCTACCAAAAAAAAAGCTTATTTGTGGCAACACTGAACTACGTTCCATACATTCCCTTTCGGCCCTCTACAGCCAACGTTACTCACACCACGCCATGGCCTAAAATCCAATAAATGAATCACAGTTGAATGGTAGTGGGGCAATGTCAATTGAAAGGAGATAAAAGTGAATGTTGTGCAACTACATACATACTTAAATGTTAGGAGAGGATTGTTTTTCTACCACTATGTATGTATCACTTCAAATAGCGCTTCAGCAAAAGAAAATTAAAAATTTTAGGCACTACCTGAGAAGCCACCAAGCAACTACCCTCCCCACTTCATTCACTATTCACTTACCATGATAATTAAATGTAGTTTTTGTGATTTACGAGTGGTTTTAGTAATATTTCAGAATTGTTTTAAATGCCTTGCTACAACGCCGGGTAGCTGTTGCTCGCTCGTCAATGCTTAGAAATTCTTCGCTTTTGCAAATTTTTTTCGTTTGCACGAACGAGTTTTCGCGTAAGTATGATTTCACGTCAGTTTTCCTCTGCTGCTGAATCTTCGGGCCCCAAATTGACTACACGTTTAGTTACACTTCCGCTCGCGACGAACGTTTGAAAATGACTGAATTTGTGGACACACGGCGCAGATACATGAAATTGTTTGCTAAGCGTTTTTTTTTCACATCGGCACGAGGTGGTATTTTCGCTACTGCCCACGTCAGTGAGGAAAATTCGGGTTACCCAAGGAAATTTTAGCTTTATGATTTTGAAGCTTTTAATGCTGTGGGAGACTGTTGAAATTGCTATTAGGTCGACTAGGCGGAACGGAAGTGGAACTAAATCGATTTGTTTGACATTACAATCGCTGCCAATCGGGATTTTTGTTTTGTAATTCAACAATCGAAGTACTCTAACGGCTCTATTCTGTAACAGTGACAAATTTTTGTCACAGCTTTTATAACGGAACAATAGGTTTGTTCCACAAGCTACTTGTAGAAAAACTCGAGCAAAGTTGAAACTGTCTGCGTATATCAAATAAACTCTAAAGCTGATGTCACATAAAACTTTTGCTTCGCTTTACGTGACAGATTCGCTTTGACAGATAAGATGAATTGTATGAAAATGCACAAAGCATGCCACATAAATCGTTGAAGCGGCAGCGCGAAGCGAAAAGATGGTCAACTCCCATCTTTTTGCGCGCTTTGACAATCAGCCGGTTTAATATTTATTTTGTTTCGTCCAAATTCGGGTTTTCATGCAGAAACATAAAACTTAATTACATTGCTGATAATTTTAAATCAAAATAATTAAAATCCACAGCAACTTTGATGAGTAAAAAAGCGGTACAACATTGTTTTCTTGGCGTTCATTGTGGCATACCTTTTGCGTCTGGCGCTTTGCTGGCAAAGTTATAAATGTCACGCAAAGCTACAAAGTTTTATCTGGCATCAGCTTAAAACTTACTTGTGAAACGCGTATGTGTAACTCGAAGCGACTTCGAGTAGCTTGTGGAAGAAACCTTATATATGAAGAAGTTTAAATTTGTCAGTAAAAGAAAATTTTTCACCGATACAGAATTGGGCTATAAAATCGAAGTGTCTAAAAAATTGATAGCAAGATAAAACAATTTCAATGTAATTCTCGTAACTTGTATGAGTTAACTAAATTATAAAAATATGTTTAGTATTTGTTATTGATTTGAAAATAAATTTTTTAGTAATTATGATTTCAACGCGAAATTTTAATGCCTCAAAATTTTTATTTCTGATACAAATCTACGGTAGAAAGTAGTGATGGAGAACTATCGATGGAGCTATCGATAGTATTGATGGTTTCATTTTGCCGCCACTACCGAACTTTTCTAGACACTATCGATAGTTGTATGTATGTTGTGCACATATCGACTGCTTGATTTTCTAGATAGCTGCATACTGGCGTTATATCGATTGCTTAGTGGAAGATCGACCTATCTCAAGAACGCCCAATTTCAGAATTCGTTTCAAAAAACCCTATCTCAGCTTCCGATTCAAGATAGGTCGATCTTCCACTCAGCAATCGATATAACGCCAGTATGCAGCTATCTATCAATAATGTGTTATTGAAATACACGATCTCATTTCGTTTTACACAAACTATTTTTGTGTATATAAATAATCTTTATAGTTTTTGTACTAACGAAATGGGTTATTTAAGAATAAGCTCTCTTCCTGGCCGTTGTTATCTTTTTTTTGTAGTAAAAGCAGAAACGAAGAAATTGACAGGCGATGGGATCAGTCATATCACTTGCCAAATTTTTCTTTGGCCATAAAAAATGGAATCAAATTTGTCTATTTACAAAATGTTATGCCCAGTTTCACCAATCAAATTTAAATTTGTCAGGCTGTTATAATTTAAAATAACAAAATTTTTTTTTGAAAATAGCAAATTTGATACATTTTAAAATTGGTTGGTGAAACATAGCATTAGTGTTAAATCTCACCATATGTAAGAAAGCTTTCGATAGTACCGAATACTTTTTACTATCACTATCGAAACAATCGAATGTATGAACTATCGATAGTTTTCCAACACTAGTAGAATGAAATGAACTACTCGCAATTTTGGTACCAAGTGAGAACAAACCGAATGCAACCCTACAACAGCTGATTGGTGCTGCCACTCTGCCGCGATACGTTACTAAAAAAGCGGGAGTTTGTTATTTGTTAACCGGAAGTAGTTTTCGGGAAAATTTGTTCGCACGTATATTTTTAAAGAATCAAGGGTCCGAAAATAGTTTAGTGTCTATACATATATGTAAGTGGAGCTAAGCAATAATTTAATAAGCGCCATTTTTCCTACTTCGTAAAAACCAAAAGGCTAATAAACTACGTAGCGACACCATATCAACCAACCATCTAAGGTAGGATTCTATTTCATTAAAATATGTAGTTTTAGCAATAGTTTAGAAGTGAATAACAGCTGAAAATAACACCTTATCAACTAAAATAATACAAGAATGCCTGCACTTGCTTGGATTCTCCCACCGTAACTACTAAAAGCGGCACTGGGTACTTCTGCAAATTATATGCTTGTGATATTTCCGCATGCGTTGGAAATGGCTCATTTACACCTAATATAATTAATCTAAATGTTGGTGGTTTCGGTGCGCTCTTTTTAAATCCATCATTATGCAGATACAAATCGAAAACAATCTGCAAATTCCTTATCTCATCTTCTGGACTCTCTGTGGAGCTCCTCAGTTTTATAATATCAATTTTGGCGAAACTCTCTTCAAACTGCTTGTACTCGGGCTCATCCTTAAGACAATCTAGAAAACTTCGTTGCTTAGCAGCAATCTCAAAACATCTTCGCTTGGCTTCCGTAGGGTTTTCCACTTCATCACTTACATTTTTTCGTTTTCCCGTTGATGCCATTTTACGGTCGAAGTTCACTGGCGGCAACGACTCGTCGTCCACCAATTCTTTTTGCTCTAGTTGTTCCTGCTTCATAATGCAATCTTTTATGTGTTTCATTTGCATTTTGACTTTGACAAAGTGTGGAGATTTCTTTACATTTTCTGGGATTGCGCGATTATTGATAACGCTCAATGCGAGCGCCCATGCGCAATCCACTTCAGTAGGCTCAACATTGTCGTAATAGGCGACATTCTGGTGGCGCACCAAAATAAAACCAATACGCGTGAGATGAGAATAAACAAGATATTCGTTAAATTTAGTGTTAGGTGCCTCGCCTAATAGTAGCAAATAAGCTTGTTCCACAGACATTATCTTTGAGTGGTACTCCAATTGCAAGCGGTTCTATAGGTAAATATGTGTGTGTAAGATTAGGAGCTAGAGTCTGAATTATTAACTGCTATGTTACCATTTCTAACAAAAATAAGGCTTCATAATTTTCCAAATAGAATTGACCGCAATGACTGTAGCCGAAATTGCCAAATTTTCCATCCTTCCGTAGCACCTGCACGGCCTTCTCGTCTGGGTCCCAAGCACCCAACGCACGGCCTGCCAAACGGTCAGTACGTGACAAGGAGAGTTTTGTGCGTAAGTCATCTAAAATAAAAGTGTTATGAGCTTCTATATGAACTAGCTGAAGCACTAAATAGAGCACTTGAAATACCATAAAGTTTATTAAGTTCAATCGCTTCCTCCTCGGTGCCTTCGGGTAGTGTACGTTTTGGACCAAGTCGAGGATGCATGTCAGTTTGGCAACAGCAGCTTTGTTTTAAAAAGAACTTGATTTTATTGCGCTTAAATTAAGGCGTATCAACAGCTATTGAATCATGCACTTAAATCTTTTATTTAATTATAATTTGCTAACGCAGTTAATTGAAACAAAATGTACCAAATATTGGGAGCAAAACAAAAGTAATGAAAGAGGGAGTATAGAAAAAGACTGTTGGTGTTGCCATATGTGGAATAAAATATTATACTGTATCGATTTTTTTGCATATTAGGCCCAATTGGTGTTTTTGGGCGTATTCTACAATTATGAAGAAGAAGAAGACGAAATTGAAGACTTGCTGACGCCTAGACTGAACCGATGTCACGCATATGAGCACTACTTGCTTCTACAATTATGAACAAACACATAAAATTGTAAAATGTGTTTTGAATTATTTCGAAAAAAAATGTTGCGTACGTCATGCGGACTGCGCCCCATTGGACGCAGAAAGGAGGGTAAAACCGTTGGGATTAATTAATTAATTAATTGAACTTACGTGCCCCAAAATCGATGAAGTCAACTAAAATCCAAATATCGACATAATACTTCCAACTTTTATTTCGATTCGTTGTATTCTTAGTAAAATAATAACAATACTTTTCCAAAATCTTATGCTATTCATAAAATTGTGATCAATTACGTATTTAAAATGATACCTACATATATGTATCGTTAGTTAGATTAACTTGATTACATTGATTTTTTTTAGTTTAAAGCTAACCCTACTCGTTTTCTCCGTCGATAAAAGCGAGCATCCATATAACTCCTTTAGTTCTGCGCCTTCCCCGGNTTTTTTTTTTTTTTTTTTTTTTTGACTTGGAAGAGAATTAATAACACCGTGCGACAAAAGCCAAAAATTTTTAAAACAAACGAAAAAATAAAATATATTCACAAAACTAGGAGCCAAATATATGTATGTAGAATAACTGCGTTTTTAATTTCGCATTTTTGTAAAGGACTTTGAAATTTCTATGATATGATTGAATAAAATAATTATTTAAAAGATTTGGTGCATTGTAGAGTAACAATAAGGGTATCACTTAAAAGGAAAAATTCTGTAGAATAGAAACAAATTTAATTTTTTGTTGCACCAGGACGAATAAATGTTGAAAATGTTAATTTCCAATATTTATTTTTGAAAAATATATGTCGCATTTTTTATT